TCTAATCTATCTAATCTATCTAATCTATCTAATCTATCTAATCTATCTAATCTATCTAATCTATATTACGTAACTCTAATTATTCTTATAACTCTATATATAATCTCTTATTCTATAACTCTAGGCTTAGCTTACTATTTTCTTTATTCTAGCTAGCTAACTCTATTTCTAATTCTATAATTATAATATCTACCTCTTCTTCTAAAGTATTATTCTAAAGCTCTATTCTATTTCTAGGTATAGTATTTTATTATTCTATACTATTCTTATATAAGAGTAGTACTATCTATAGTTCTATAATATTATATTCTCTCTTTCTCTCTTATCTCTACTATACTACCTATACGTACTAAGTCTTTAATAGTTTACTACTACTATTACGCTAATCTTATTCTATATATAGACGCTAATATATCTAATAACTCTTATAGTACTTACTATTTTTATAACCTATATTATATTATAAAGATATCTTCTAGTTATTACTTAGAGTATATTATAAAGAGCTAGTTCTATAATAAAATATTAGATTAAAAAAAGGTAGAGAAGCTAGATTAGCTAGTAGCTAACCTGCGTTCTTAGTAGTCTAAGGCTAGTCTTAAGGTAGAGCGCCTTGCTAAGACTTAGTAGCTTAAGCTAGATCGCCTACGTGCCTAAAAGGCCTGCCTAGACAAATTCTAGTAGTCTATAGATACTTATAGTAAGCGCTTATAAAAGTAGTTAGAGCTAGTATAGCGTTATTATAACGTGCTACTTTTAAAAGATCTAGCTAATATTAAGAAGTTAGAGTAGTTAGAGCGTAAGGTATAGTAACCTTTATAGCTATAACCTTCTATCTCTCTAGTTAATTCTCTTTAGTTATTTAACTAGAGCTATCTAGAGAATCTAGAGTTCTAGTCTCTAGGTCTTAGAGGTAGTTCTACTAACAAAATTTCTTAAGTTTCTTAGAGTAATTCTTAAGGTTTTCTAGTAGTTTCTAGGTGTCTTTCTCTAGTAGGTATTCTTTCTACCTAATCTAGTACTTCTACTAACCTTATATACGCTTTTTATCTAGTATTTTCTTAACTTTAAAGTTCTAATCTAGTTCTACCTTAGTTTATTTATTAAGTAGCGCGTTATTAGGCGCTAGCTTAAGTTTAGATTTATAGAATATAGAGTGTATTTATATTATTAGTAGTAGTCTTAACCTAAAGTTAATAGGTCTAAGTTACTTATTAATTTTAAATAGTCTAATTTATAAGTAATTAAGTTTTTTACTAGGTTATTTAGTACGTAAGTTTTTTTATAAAATAAAAGCTTTACCTCTCTTCTTAAAGGTTAGTCTCTTAATTCTTTTTTTATTTACCTATTAGGTTATTCTTTTTGCTATTTTTTATAGTTTGTTATAGATTATTCTTATCTAGCGCTTTTTTTTCTCTATCTTTAGAGAGATTATAGCTATATATACTAATAATCTATATATTCTAGCCTTATAGCTATAATATACTTAGTAGAAAGTTATCTCTATAGTTTTTTATTTTATTATATTATATACTAGTTATGCTATAGATAGTAGCTTAACCTAGTTATTTTATTTCTAGTTAATATAGTTTCTTAGGTACTCTTCTAGAGTTTAGTTTATTTATTCTATTTAGCTATTAGTCTATAGGTAAAAGCTAGTTAATATTTAATTACTTATTTCTATTTAGCTAAGTAACGCGTTCTAGAATTTAGACGTAAACAGTTTATCTCTATCTATAGTAACCTATTCTAGTATTCTATATTAGCTAAATAGCTATTAGCTTACCTTATATACTAGTTCTTTAACTTTAAGAGTTTTACTAGTTAGGTAAAAGTATACGTATTTAGTAAATTAGTCTATAATTACTAGAATAGTATTACACTTTCTTTGTAACGTAGGTTTAATTAACCTAGGTAGTTTTATAATAAAGTTTATAGTAACGTATTACTATAGCGCTATAGGTAGTTCTAGAGGTTATAGTAGCTTATATAGTTAATATCTAACTACTTTATTTTACTAGCATTCTATATATTCTTATACTATCTTTATAACTTTTTTCTTTATTACTAGAAATCTATATTCTTATTGTATTCTTTTAAGAGTATGTTTAATTTCTTAGTATCTATACATTATAGTACTATAGAATTCTTAGAGAAATTCTATTTATAGAGCTTCTAGTACCTCTCTTTTCTCTTACTTATTAGGCGGCTCTAGTCTATTATTCTACTAGTCTTAAATTTCTATAACCTAGCTAATTTATAAGCTATTATATTCTAGAGTTCTATCTAGTTTAGTGTAGAGTATAGCTTTGTATTTCTTCTTAGCTACTACTATATAGTTAGCTCTCTAGCTAAGTACGTCTACTACTCTATTTTTAGTACTCTTCTAGTGTTAGATTATAAAGTTTAGTATAGCTAGCGTTTCTACCTACCTAACTTATTATCTATTTAGCGTTTTTATTATTATAAACGCTATAAGGTTTTTATAGTCTAATACTACGTTAATAAAGTATTTAGCGCCTTCTAAGTATATTCTCTAT